GAAAAAACTTCTTCCGAAAGAGAGCGTCTGCTTTTTCAAAAGATAGCATCCACGTGAATGGACGCTATCTCACATTTAAGCTGTGATTACTATGGACAGAGTGGCCACCAGGGCACCTGTGCTTTTTCCTCTTTCCTCTTCTTTCGAAAGAACTCTCTCTTCCCCAAAAGAGCTCTTTTGGAAAAAAGGCTTCTTCCTCATAGAAAGAGGTTTACCAATGTCAGAAAAACACCTCTGTTCTTTCAATTTTCTTATGAAACAACACAATTGCAGTGTGGATGTAATTCACGTTTTTTTTCCAGAAAAACAGCAGTTTTTCCGAAAAAACTCTGTAGCGTAGACCTAGCCGTAGAGAGGAAAGGTGAGAAAGGTCATATCTGTTATTGGACCAATTTCTGTTGATGAGAGAGAAAAGCTTTTCAGGAATACAGATAAAAGCAGACCCAAAAGCTTGTTTCTTTTACCACCAGCAATTGGTCCAATAACAGATATTACCTCACCCACCTTGTATCTCTATATCTCCCATGACATTCTCATACCCCTGCAGCTTTGCAGGAGCCCCAGGCATTTAGCAGGGCTAAGGCCAGGGGCTATAATTACTCCTTCTGTCCACCAATGCCTGCAGGGGAACCTGCTTTGCAGGTAGCGTTCTCTGCCTCCCCTCTAGCCATTTCCCCTATTGGAGGAAGATGGGGAAGGCTCATGCAGCAGGAGGTCTTCTAGCTGATACAGAAGGTGAGTGGGTTCAATATAGACACCAGGCTCCAGATGGCAGCCACTTGTCTCCTTTATCCTCCACTCCCCAGGACATTCCAGCCACGCAACTGACCCTGAATGGTATCCAGCTAGCATTCCCCCAACCTGTACTATGCATCCCCTGATTCTAACAACTCCAGCCCCTCACTAACTCATATCTCTTCTAGCACCCACACAACCTAACTTCCATCCAAACCAGCTATTAAGTTCTAGGCACCTCCATGACCTGCCACTGCCACTGCTTGGGACACAGTGTGCTGATCATAAGCTAAAGTTTATGCTTATAAATGAATATTTGAAAATGTTCACATTAACTTATTAATTTGAACTTATTATTAAAACTTTACATTCAGCTGCATAAAACTTGACAGCTCTGCTAACGTTAGAAATCAGTGCTCACACTGAATGCCACAAGTGCTACATTGCTACACTGGGCAGCGTTGCTGGACTTCATAGAGGTTTTTTAATACAAACATTGAAAGCCTGATTTTACCACTCCATTATGCATGTTTTACACTGGTGTAACTCTGTAGACTTAAGTGGAAAGTCACCAGTTTTTACACCCCTGACTATTTAATATCTGGACGATTATACAGTGGAAGTACTTGTTATTGTCACTGGCAAAGATTGGTCTGTTGGAATCCTGACTCATTTCTGTAAATTATCCTTTACTCTGAAATTAGAACCATATAATTGATTTACTGGCGAAATTCAATCTTTCAAAAATAAGGGTTTGACCCTGAAAATCCACAATGAAGAGCCCCATTGAGCTCAGTAGGATTACTTGTGTGAGTGATGATTGTGGGATCAGGCTTTATTCAAACTATTTGACTAGGTTATTTTTGTAATTGAAGCTTTTAAACATTTATCCTAGTTTTAAAATGCCAATAGATGCAGACTCAAATGCTGACTAAAAATAAAACAGTCTGGTTTAATATTCCTAAGTATGAAGCTAAAATTCTTCTAACCACTGAGGACTTCAGATTAGTAGATATTTGAATGTATTTAGTTGAAAATAATATATAATCTCAAAATTTTAAAAGTGTAGGATGAAATGAGAACATTAAAATTTTTTATCCTAAACGACTAGTTACTCAATGTAAATAAAGCGTAATATGGGTGTTTATACTGAAATCGTACACTTCCTAAAAGCATGCAAAAAATCATTTGATTTTTAAAAATATAAACGTCCATTCTAAGCATTTCCTCCAGTTGCAGCTCTTTACACATAATTAATATTACACTACTATCTCTTATAACTGAACCAACTATGCATGTACTCAGTTTTGATTTGCCACACCACGCATGGGTCCTTCTGAACTTATCTGAATGGGCCAGGGTCAGTGTGCAGCCAGACCTCAAACCTGGGACCAAAAGGAGGATCCCACATGCAGCAGAGGCCAAAGACACTGTCACACATTACTGACGACCAGTGAGCTAAGGGCTCTGCACATCAGATATGAGGGCCACAAATGGGTGTGGTAAGCTCTGCATCCCTAAGAAGGCTGCTATATTTAAAGAAAAAGACTAAACCCTATTCAATCCACACTTCCTAAATCATAGTGTAGATGTGGCTTTAGAATAAATTTAAGACTCTGTGACTTCTTGTTTCAGCAGATCAGAGATAGGACACAGGAGCCAAGGATCAGAAGTAGAGGCTGTAAGTGTTACTCCTTCCTGGAGTTTTTCTGTTAATCCATCTAGGTACCTGCTCCTCCTGTGCAATCCCCACCCAGTCTGAGTTCTATCATGTGAGGAATCACACTGCAAACATTAAAAAGGCATAACAAAAAAAAGACACTGTACTTCACAGAGAATTAAGTGCTGCGTATAGTTAACAGCAACTCCAGGCAAGCATCAGATACACTGTTAAATTTATCAGCAGGCACAACCCTACACAGACAATGCATGTTGTAAGATGTCCCCCACCACTCTGTTAATACTTTGTCAGTACCTACACAAAGTGATAAAACAGAGATGTTGTGAAAGGAAAAACGACAGTGAGGCACAGTATGGAGAAAAGTAGTAGAGATTAAAATTATGTGGAACTTCAGGATGTACATATGTCAGCAACATGGACAGTGTGCAGCTATGTACAGAAAAGGAAGTAAAAAAATTCTACCTCAACACATCTGGTCCCTGAGTGCATCTTAAGTTCTTTCTGCTTGTTTTAGTGACAACTGAGATTTTACTATACATACACTTCTGTTAGCTCTGCAAACCTAATGCAGTTGAGGATTCTATTCTAGTGCATGCACCAACAGGTTTGTTAACTAATGGCTTGATTCTGCCTTTGATTGCCCTTCCTCATATGATAGTCTCTCAATGGGATGACTCACATGAGTTCTTTGCATTGGAGGAAGTCTTTATATCCAGCACCAAGTTCCAAAATGAGGATCCCAACTTACTTCTGAAGAAGCATGAGCTAAAAAGAATTCCACTTGACCCAGACCCCAGACTGAGTTGACAGGGTTGGCACTGAGAAAAGCCATCTTTTTGCTGGTTAATTCAGCATATTTGCCCTGGGGTCACCGAGAAACAACAAAAATGGAATCTCCAGAGAGTCACTTTTCAGAACAGAACTTTAATATTTTTCTCTGTAAACTGATACAATGTCCTGTATCACTGGGCTACAAATAATACATGGAAGGGGTTGTTATGTAGAATCTGACTATGGTAATACCTATTGAATGCTAGGAACTTTCTGAGGGCAGTCCCCAAGAGTTTGCAATCTAAAAATACGGCTGCTGCCATTGTGCCTGCCTTGCACTGAAATATTAGCTCCCTAGACAAGAGCTGCTATATGGCACACATTCACATGCTCTGCAGTCAGGAGCTTTGTAACTGGCGAGACAGCAGCTGGGGAAGTCATGCCGGGGAAGGGGGCAGCAAGAAGCTGGTGCATGGCTCTCCATTGCCTCTCCATCTTCTGGGCAGTGCGCCCCAGCCCCCAAAGCACCCCATTCCTTCAACTGTGGTTTCCAAGGGTCATTCTACGGCCCTCCTGTACCATTCCCAGGAGGGAAAGGGACAGCACCCACTGCCCCTTACTCACTTTGGTGAACTGGCTCCTAGCTCCCCCAGAAAAGGAATCTCCTTCCTCTTCAGGGATACAACATCTCCTCCAGGTCTGAAGGAGACTCACTCACTCTGGGGGCCTGAACCTAGTACCGACTTCACAGCAGGCTCACTCTGGTTATCTGACCCTCTATCCCCACCAACTGGGCAGGTCTCCTCTTCTCATTCCCTTCTTTTGCTTGTCCTACAGGGCTTGGGGGATTGAGCAGGGACTCCCCAGCTATGGCCCCCATGCCACAAGGACTCTGGACAGTCCCATTTGAACTCTCCAGCCCAGGGCCAGCTCCCCGGGGATTACTGGAACTCCAGGTGCTCTTCCTGCTGCCATCCCGAGGGGTTTCTCCCCACAGCCCTCTCTGGGGGGGGTCTCCCCCCCTTGTCCTCAGAGGCCTGCTGCTCCCCCATCCCAGGGGGCTCTCTGAGGTGCTGCTATCCCATCTCTGGGGTGTCTCTCCCCCCTCCCCCGCCTTCACTGGTGGCCAGCTCCCCGGGGATTACTGGAACTCCAGGTGCTCTTCCTGCTGCCATCCCGAGGGGTTTCTCCCCACAGCCCTCTCTGGGGGGGGTCTCCCCCCCTTGTCCTCAGAGGCCTGCTGCTCCCCCATCCCAGGGGGCTCTCTGAGGTGCTGCTATCCCATCTCTGGGGTGTCTCTCCCCCCTCCCCCGCCTTCACTGGTGTGTAGCTCCCCCAACCCCAGGGTCTCTCTGAGGTGCTACCCCCCATCCCCGCGGGCCCCGC